AGTTTTAGGTCGTCCTTAAAGCAAAAAGTCTAATATCTGCTCTCGTTATCTCTTCTATGTTGATTGCCTTTTTTCTAATTTCTTTGTACTTAGTTCTATTCACTATGTTATCTGAGCTGAAAACTTTTGATGGATATTAAGATTAATGCTTGATCCTCTCTTTTTCTTAAAATCGAGACTAACCTAATCTTGTACTTGTATCCTGAAAAGAGTATAAAAATTCAAACAATCACAGTCGCATATATGAAGCCGATAAATTTGGAATTTTCCGCGCCATTTAAGATTGTATACAGAAACAGGAGGGACTCTCTAATTTTAAAAACCCGGTTTTTGATTTTTCTCTACTATATCCAAGAAATATACTATATTTTTATCAATAAGATAAGATCTTCCTTTTTGATTTATTGATTGCAAACATGTGGTTTATGAATAAACTGTTTTAACACAGAACACAGTACAGCTGTGACGATCCACGTAATACCTGATATAACTAATACTTCAGCAAAATAACTTGAATACCTGTATTTACATAATCTAAAGCTAATAGATATATTAAAATCGATTTTTCAAAAAAAAAGAAATTAAGAAGTAACATTATACTTATATTACAAAAATCAAACGCGGTCCATGGATATATTCAACAATTTTAAATTCTTATCTAGCCCTAAACTATACATCTCAAACTGTCATTATCTATTTTTTTGAAAAAAATTTCTTACAGAATGTGGTCTTCCAATTTCGTGGCATCTATAAATAATTAACCTTCAAATTAGTAAATCAAATATTTTCTGAAATCTCAAGTGTGAACATTCAATACAATATGATTGAAGCTTCTCAATCATTTGTAATTAATCACAACAATTATCTATTAACGTATACCACATAGCACTGGGCAACGTTCTGTTAATGAACAGAAGCGTATGCTATTTAAAGGAAACTACCATTAACGAACAGAAAGAACAGCTTACAGTTTAAACTCATGTACTGGACAGAAGAGCTGTTAATTTAAAAGAAGAAATACTTAGTTAAAAACTTACAATTTCCTAAGTTCTTAACCTAAATTAAACTAGAAAACAAATGCGCCAAAATCCTTTCAAAAAGTGCATATTTGAAGTGCTGGAAATGTTTGTTTAAACAGCGGAAGTTTTTTAATGAAAAAATCTGAGAGAAAAAAGTACCATCTCGTCTAGTCTAATATTAAATAAATATCTTCAGATACTCTGCTATATTACTACACCAACCATATTTTAACATCTGGAGACTGCAGTGTGTATTCAACTGGCGTTGAGTGCAGTCGTGAATGTGTGTCTTCGACTCGCATCTCAGTTACATTATGGTTCAAACAGTCAATTCGTTTTTAAACTTCTTATGAAGTAATGTAATTTAAGATTACTATTTTTAGCTGAATCGAACACAAAACCACACCGCTTTGATACATAATTAATAATATTCATATTTCATATTTATCCATTCTCATTATCATTTTATTTCTAGCATATATATTAGATAACTCGGATTCAACGAAAATTGTACAGACATCTTAATTTTTTAAGCTATGCGCCAACATACTAGTTAAACTAGATATGATTATAGCCTTGGTAAATCGGTACATCTGGACTTTACTTGAACCTGCTTATTGTTTATTTAGGAACCAGTTGACTATATCCAAATTTGTTCATTCTGCTTTCAGTTTTCTTCTTTTTAGTAAAAACTGTCCTTAACATTTTTTTATTAGCGCTGTTATAATCAAATGATGTTTATATTTTGGTATTTTTCTTCCATTAACAAAATTAAATAGAAAAAGAACATAAGAGATCTGGCCCATTTTTCATTTTTTTAACTTTAGATTAAAACATATTTCGAAAAAATTAATGCATTCCATTCATAATTACTTTTTTGGTGTTAAATAGAGGTATTGGTGTTCACTAGGGTAAAGGGTGGACATATTTAACGATGCATATAAAATGAAAAGGTGTTTCAATTTTCAAAACGTGAGAACAAACCTTTAAAATAAACTAATTTATCGATTATAGCTGCCTAAAACTTACATGGTTAATTAACCGATGAAACAAAAAAGAAGTTATCCCTCTTTTTAGTGATGCTTACATGTTTTAAGACACACTGTAGTATATGAAAGGGGGAAATGCCAACATTTTATTTCCAATACACATTTATTTACACTTGAGTAATTTACAACTTCATTTAAATGTTAAGATTCGAATTACCAACAGAAAAGATCGACACAAATTTTTAAATCGTTTTTAAAATTGTTTGTAAAGTGCCGTTGTTTATTATTTATTTCCTTTAAAAAGTTATAAACAATTAAAAATTATATTATATTATGTTATCATATGCCTTACCACATTCGTGAAACCTAATTTCCGATACTGTGTTTCATGGATAACAATGCATTGTCTTAAGTTTTGGGTTCAGTCCTAACTCTCCTAACAGTACTATATTGTTTGTAAATTCTCACAAGTATCCGGTACAATACTTTAACCCCTCTAACCTCATTAAACCAATTTAATACAGTAGGCTCTAGTAAATATTTTAAAGTCGAAATTGGATTTCAAATTTAATGTTCAATGTATAATTCACTTTAAAGTGCAAAAATTGCCGGAACTTCATCACAAAATATGTTCAATCTGCTTAGTTTTGTCATACTTTCCAATAAGTTTAAATGTTGAAATTCAGTTGCTGGAAATATGATAAATAGAGATTTAGTTTAGCACTTTAATTCCAGAAGAATGAGTGAAAGAGAAGAAAGGCAGTTATTAAGGCAGAATACCTGCAAAACCATTAACTGATTTCGTTCCCAAAAATAGCTTTCTCTGCAGAGATTATTCTGTGTGTAATCTTTACTATTTACCTTTACCTTTACTTGTGTACGCACTATTTTTATACTGTATATAAACCTAACCCTCTCCCGTTCGTAAATTTCATATTTTTCAAGGCAAACCAGGTTTAATCACCTCACGTTAAATTGTTTGTATTTCAATTTTTGGCTAAATTTTCATTTTCATTTATATCCATGATTGCAATAATTAGAGAATAAGAAAAATCATCGTTGTTTGATCAACAAACTGTATTTCTTTAATATGTGCGGGTTTTGGAATTAGGCGACCGCCTAGCTTGGTGTGGGAGGGCGTGTCTGGATGGAAAGAGGAGTTTCCTCTCACTCCTGACAAGGCAGACATAACCCCTACTTCACTACAGGGACCTCGTTGTATCACAAGGGGTGTTCTCAAATCAAGCAGAAAACATGGTTTTGAAGAAGAACAAAAGAAATTTCTTGTTTTCATGATCATCTATTTAATCGGTCAAGAAAATGACAATATCGTTCTGAACATTCTGAAAACCATGCATAAAATTGACATAGGTTACAATTAGGGTTGTTGTTTTAATTTTTTGGAAAAACGATCGTTTCGTTATCAAAACAACGACAAAAAGACGAAAACTTCAATCGTTAAAAACAAAGATCGTTTTTTTAAAAGTTCGTATTTTAAAAACGGTCGTTTTCCAAACGAAAGTTTATTTTTAGCTCGTCGTTTCGTTACCGATCGATATTTTATGCTTAGAATATTTGATTTAACCTAGTTCCTATTTAAAAAAATCAAAGGTCTACGAAATTGGGTTGCAAAGATAAAGGTTATACAAATATGAAATAATGAGTTTGTGGAAAAAATATAAACTACATATTTATAATATATTAATGAAAGAATTATCATATATTGATATCACAGGAAATTTATATTTATATTGATATCATCCGAAGGACCAAGATCCGTAAATTTGATCAACAATGGAACGATTCATTTCAACCATGGACCATGATTTGTGGTACAGTATTAGAAGTGACTCTGGTTTAAACTCCCTGGAATACTGGGATTACAGCGTTGAGCTAGAATGTCTGACTGGACCTGAAGGTTTGTTTTGACAATATCTGTATCTAATAGCATAGTTTGATGCATATGTTCCCACAAAGGTAGATTAGTTCTTGTGAAGTACTTTTCCTCGCTCCATACATATGAGAATATTAAGTTTGAATTTTTCTAAGCAAAAACATATTATTGATCATTGAGATAAAGGAATTGAGTCTTTGTAACAAAATCAAATATTTAACCCCCAATATCTTTAGAACCCGATGTTGTAAACCTTTAATATTTAAAACTCTGATTATTTGATTTAACAGAATATATTGTTTGAAATATCTAAGGTCTACAACATTTGGTTCCGAAGATATAGTGATTTGAAAATCAGAGTTTGTGACAAAGACTCAATTCCTTTCAAGAAAAAATGGGTATCTCATAAAAAAGATTAGGACGTGAATAATTTGTAAAATGTCTAGGTTAGGTTAGATTGGGTTACGTTGGGTTATGTCTGCCTTTAAGAGGATGTAAATAAATCCGTTGAGCTAGTTTTAGTTTAAAAATGAAACCTTGTTTGCCACTTTTCGGGATAACGTACTTTTTTGACATTTTTATTTTTATTACTAACTTTATATTTTTATTAAGAAGATGCTCAAAATTTATATTTATTTTAAGAAATATATTATAGTTTACCATTTTACAATGAACACGCTTTTAGAAGTTAAAAATATATACTACTGAAAACCAAAAAATATGAGTTTAGAGAAGGTTAGAATTTTGAAATAAATCGTACCACGGAATTTTCGTACAGGGTTTCATTTCAGGTCAAACTAGCTCATAAAAGATTATATATCTTCCATGAAAGTCCAGATCTATCGAATTTTTTTTAAATCAATTAACACGTATGAAGACGACTTTTCTACTCAAGTTTTAACTTCTAACAAGCATTTTTCAAATAACACGTTTAAAACTTATAAGTAAACATTAAGAGAATCTGTTTTTACTTATGTGAATTCAAGCTGTTTGAAAGCTTGCTAGAAAAAAAATAAATAAAAGGTCTTCTGCATTGTATTGAAAGATATGACGACTGTACAAAAATATAGAAATATTACACAACAAATATTTGTTTAGATCTTCAGCTGGCTGCAGAACTAGGCAAAACTTTATTGGAGAGAAACAGGCAGGATGATATCGTCTATTTTATCTATTGAAAAGAAACAGGCAGGATAATATTGTCAATGTTTTCTATTGAAGAGAAACAGGCAGGATAATATCGTCAATATCGTCTATTATTTCTATTGGAGAGAAACAGGCAGGATAATATCGTCTATGTTCTCTATTGGAGAGAAACAGGCAGGATAATATCGTCTATTTTATCTATTGGAGAGAAACAGGCAGGATAATATCGTCTATGTTTTCTATTGGAGAGAAACAGGCAGGATAATATCGTCTATTTTATCTATTAAAGAGAAAAAGACAGGATGACATCGTCTATTTTCTCTATTGGAGCGAAACAGGCAGGATAATATCGTCTTTGTTTTCTATTGGAGAGAAACAAGCAGGATAATATCGTCTATGTTCTCTATTGGAGAGAAACAGGCAGGAAAATATCGTCTATTTTATCTATTGGAGAGAAACAGGCAGGATCGATAATATCGTCTATGTTCTCTATTGGAAAGAAATAGGGCAGGATCATATTGTCTATGTTCTCTATTGAAGTGAAGCAAGCAGGATAATATTGTCTATGTTCTCTATTGGAAAGAAAATGTCAGGATAATATCGTCTATGTTTTCCAGAGGCGCAACTAGGACTTTTGCTAGGGGGGGGCAATATATTATTTTGTTAGGGTTTGGGGGGTTTAGGGGGGTTCCCCCCTTTTTTCGAAAATTTTTCAAAAAAAAAGTGCTTTTTTAAGGGTCTGAAGTCGAAAAAAAGGAAATTTTAAGTTGTTGCATGCAGATTTGGCTGTGTTCAATTCAAATCGATTTTTTGTTCTTGTGTTTTTACAAAATTTATACTTCCAACAGCTGTAAAATTAATGATATGAGTCAATTCATTGAATATGTGTGCGAATCGCAAAAGAGTATTTTTTAAGTACCTGGTTTAATTACAGATTAAATTGCAAGAAATAGTCATTTATAGTTTCTGGGGAAAAAAAAAACCTAAAAATACATAGGTAAATAATAAATTCAATCATCTACATTGAAAAAGGACAGCTGTCCTTTGTCAGATAATGTTACCTTTTGTCTTGAATTTATTGAATTAATGATTGATCTAACCAACATTCATAATCTAAATTCATTTTTGATTTTATAGAACTTCTGTCAAAGAAAATAAATCTTGTTAGTTATCAAATATGATAATCAGTTAGAAATTTGCCAGGTTCAGAATTTTCTCTAGATTTGGAACTGAGTTTTTGCCACAAACTCAAATATTCTAATCCCTAAATCTTTGCACCGAGTGGTGTAAACATTTGCAATATTTCAAACTTGGAAAATTTTACCATAAAGAATTCAAAGTTTGATATCTACGAGTACTCTATAAACTCAACACAAATAAAATACAGTTCAGAACTTTTTTTACATTAAATGTTTACAATATCCTTTAGCCTTGAGAATAGAGAAAGATAAAAATATTCTTTTTAAAACTAACTATAGTATAATAAAATTTCTACAATAACTCTATTGGCTTTCTTATTCCTGTGATACTGATTTTCGCCATTCTTTCTTTCTGCCTGTTTCTCTCCAATAGAGAACATAGACAATATTCTCCTGCCTATTTCTTTCCAATAGAGAACATAGACGATATTATCCTGCCTGTTTCGTTCCAATAGAAAACATCAGAGGCGCAACTAGGGGGGGGAGGCCGGGCGCGCGCCCTCCCCTAGCACCTGAGAGGTGGGGGGCGCCCCTCCCTTGCAGAATGAAAAGGATAATATCGTCTATTTTATCTATTGGAGAGAAACAGGCAGGATAATATCGTCTATGTTCTCTATTGGAAAGAACTAGTCAGGATAATATTGTCTATGTTCTCTATTGGAGGTAAAATGGCAGGATAATATCGTCTATGTTTTCTATTACCATGATGACAACTTTTAATGTGATGACGTGACAATGGCTGTAAAGGCCATGGCGAAAACGAGGATAGTAAACAAGGCATTTAGGCATATAAAAAGACAAGACGACGAACTGACTATGACGATGGCAATGATTGTGACGATGTTACGTCTAAAGAGAGCTTGAGAATTCCATTAAACATCAGCAAGCCATAATTGATGACCAGGGCCAAGAAATTGAGGTAAGCATTTAAATATAAGATACAGAGTTAGCTACAAAGGATGAGAATTTAGAGACGCCTTTACGGCAATCGTCCAGTAGTTTATCAAATTAAGGTTTCCGCAGCTTTATCCTTTTTTTCTTTGCTATTAAGTTTACAATTGTAGAAATTTATTGAAGGAAAAAGATCAGATAAATAAGGATCATCAAATTTTAAGAATTTCAGGTCGTCAATAGTGTCTCATCTTTTGCGGGTAACCCTGTATTTATAAGTTTGCTTTTCTCGACTCGACCTAGTATAAAATGAAAACTAGAACCAATTATTTCTCATAAATTCAAGTGGATCTCATGACTCATGTGTGATACTAGAATTGATTAAATAGATGATTGTATAAGATTACTCGTAAACGTCTCAAAATTAAACACTTACAATTTTCTCCTTATTTCTCCAGATGTAAATTATTGATTATTCACCGTTCTAAATCTTGTTTTTCGCCTCGAATAACAAAATGAGAATCTGTATTAACATCGTCTTTGAAATATCCATCAAATGTTACAACAGCTGTTATAAATAAATAAAGAATTTGTTCAACAATGGACAATTTGTTACACTCTGCATTTCCAGACACTAAAGCATGTGAAATACCGCCTTAATTTTCACCCCTCCCCCTTCAATCTCACAATACTTCATTCTTTCTAGATTAAC